GTTCTAGGGTTTTAATGGATCGTTCAGTGTTGCAACCTCCGCGTGGCCATTAAATATATCGGTACAAAATTACGCCCAGCGACCGCGAACCTCCAATAAAATAGAGGGTTTCAAGTGCCTCTTAAGCTCCGTTACACGGGCCGTAATACATTTGACAACGGTGCGCGTTCTGTGTTAACATGCTGTGTCACCATTTAGAACAAGTGGCACTTCGAGAGCATTCAATAATTTTTTTCAATAATTTTTTCAATATTTTTTTCAATAATTTTTTTCAATAATTTTTGTCAATTTTTTTCTTGTAGAATATTACATATAATTTTCAGCCGCTATTATTGTGTTGTTTTTGAACTAGGTATTGACATCACTGACTATTATTTCCGATTTCGAGATAGGTTTATATTTTTTACTCACTGTCAAAAATTTTTACTAATAATTAAACAAATAAGAGGCTAAATAAATTTGTTTAACATTTTTTAAATTAATATAGGTAGGTAGTTAACTTCTTAAGGTATTAGAAAAACATATCGAAAATAAAATTTTCATTAAAAGACACCAACCCATACAGCACAAACACATTTCGGAATTATATCAAAAATATTACATTGAAACATTTGTAATGTTGTAGAAATATTATGAAACGTCCCAGAAATATTTCCGAAATATACCTAAAACGTAAAAATGTCCTGTAAATATAATATTTCACAGTAATATTTCTGAAATGAAAATTTGAAATCTTTTAGAAATACTAATAGTAATATTTCAGGAATATATTCTAGTCTTTTTTTCATAAATATTATGAAACGTTATAGAAACGTTTCTAAAATATTAAAAATAGACATTTAAAAATATACATAAAATACACAAAACACAAACATTGATTCTTAAACAAACAAATAAATAAATAATTTTTAAAACATTATTTCATAAAATATAGAGGCGAATCGTTTCATTTCTACTAATTCCTAAATTTCCAAAATGCACAAATCTGAGACAAATTATAGGTACTTAAAAAAGGAATTGATACAAATTATTTGATTAACAATAGTTTTACTAATATTGTTTCAAAGTAACTATAATAAAACAAATGATACTCATGCCAGTAGATGATATTAGCCAGTTCTGGACCAAGGTCAGAGGTACAGAGAGAGGTAATTGGGTAATTAGTAATTATCCTAAGTACCCACCCCCACCCTTCGCGCAATTAGCAAGTACCTCTCAATTACTATCATGTACTGTAATAAGTGTAATTGCATAGTGTAATTGCGTAGTGTAATGGCACCTCTCATTACTCCATATACATAGAGGTGTAAGTACCTCTCAGAGGTGTAAGTACCTCTCAGAGAGTATGTACTATGTATATCACGTAAAGTGTAATGAGCATAGTAAGTACCCATACTCATCGAAGTGTAAGTGTAAGTACCTCTCAGTGAATACTATTGTGGTATAGGGAAAATAAGTCCAGGTCTAAACACATCCTTGATTCTCAACCGCCATAGCTAGAGTGAATCGCTAGTCTTCAGCAGACATGGGCGACGTAAACATTGATGGAAGAGGAAGAACCCCACCTTTCGCGCATCTTCAGACTTGTATATTATAGCTTTGTTCCAACACACACACAAACCGTAATATTACGGTCATCGTCATGCGCAGTAAATAAAAACCGTTCGACTTTGGGCTTTATTGATAGGTTTTTATTTACTGCGCATGACGATGACCGTAATATTACGGTTTGTGTGTGTGTTGGAACAAAGCTTATGAATAGCATAGGAGAGGTGGGAATTTTTAGAGAGGGTATATAATAGCGCCCATGTCCAAATTAAATCAGTTTAAAATCGTAAGCTTTAAGCGTGTTTAGAAGTTCCAAATAATAACCAAGTGTAGTATTGTGTGTGTGTGTGTGTGTGTGTGTGTGTGTGTGTGTGTGTGTGTGTGTGTGTGTGTGTGTGTGTGTGTGTGTGTGTGTGTGTGTGTGTGTGTGTGTGTGTGTGTGTGTGTGTGTGTGTGTGTGTGTGTGTGTGTGTGTGTGTGTGTGTGTGTGTGTGTGTGTGTGTGTGTGTGTGTGTGTGTGTGTGTGTGTGTGTGTGTGTGTGTGTGTGTGTGTGTGTGTGTGTGTGTGTGTGTGTGTGTGTGTGTGTGTGTGTGTGTGTGTGTGTGTGTGTGTGTGTGTGTGTGTGTGTGTGTGTGTGTGTGTGTGTGTGTGTGTGTGTGTGTGTGTGTGTGTGTGTGTGTGTGTGTGTGTGTGTGTGTGTGTGTGTGTGTGTGTGTGTGTGTGTGTGTGTGTGTGTGTGTGTGTGTGTGTGTGTGTGTGTGTGTGTGTGTGTGTGTGTGTGTGTGTGTGTGTGTGTGTGTGTGTGTGTGTGTGTGTGTGTGTGTGTGTGTGTGTGTGTGTGTGTGTGTGTGTGTGTGTGTGTGTGTGTGTGTGTGTGTGTGTGTGTGTGTGTGTGTGTGTGTGTGTGTGTGTGTGTGTGTGTGTGTGTGTGTGTGTGTGTGTGTGTGTGTGTGTGTGTGTGTGTGTGTGTGTGTGTGTGTGTGTGTGTGTGTGTGTGTGTGTGTGTGTGTGTGTGTGTGTGTGTGTGTGTGTGTGTGTGTGTGTGTGTGTGTGTGTGTGTGTGTGTGTGTGTGTGTGTGTGTGTGTGTGTGTGTGTGTGTGTGTGTGTGTGTGTGTGTGTGTGTGTGTGTGTGTGTGTGTGTGTGTGTGTGTGTGTGTGTGTGTGTGTGTGTGTGTGTGTGTGTGTGTGTGTGTGTGTGTGTGTGTGTGTGTGTGTGTGTGTGTGTGTGTGTGTGTGTGTGTGTGTGTGTGTGTGTGTGTGTGTGTGTGTGTGTGTGTGTGTGTGTGTGTGTGTGTGTGTGTGTGTGTGTGTGTGTGTGTGTGTGTGTGTGTGTGTGTGTGTGTGTGTGTGTGTGTGTGTGTGTGTGTGTGTGTGTGTGTGTGTGTGTGTGTGTGTGTGTGTGTGTGTGTGTGTGTGTGTGTGTGTGTGTGTGTGTGTGTGTGTGTGTGTGTGTGTGTGTGTGTGTGTGTGTGTGTGTGTGTGTGTGTGTGTGTGTGTGTGTGTGTGTGTGTGTGTGTGTGTGTGTGTGTGTGTGTGTGTGTGTGTGTGTGTGTGTGTGTGTGTGTGTGTGTGTGTGTGTGTGTGTGTGTGTGTGTGTGTGTGTGTGTGTGTGTGTGTGTGTGTGTGTGTGTGTGTGTGTGTGTGTGTGTGTGTGTGTGTGTGTGTGTGTGTGTGTGTGTGTGTGTGTGTGTGTGTGTGTGTGTGTGTGTGTGTGTGTGTGTGTGTGTGTGTGTGTGTGTGTGTGTGTGTGTGTGTGTGTGTGTGTGTGTGTGTGTGTGTGTGTGTGTGTGTGTGTGTGTGTGTGTGTGTGTGTGTGTGTGTGTGTGTGTGTGTGTGTGTGTGTGTGTGTGTGTGTGTGTGTGTGTGTGTGTGTGTGTGTGTTATACAGGTAAAAAAATATTTATTGTATTCTACCATGGCTCAAGCTCAGATAGATATGCTAAATAAGTTAGTTGGTGAATGGCCCACAATATTGGATCAGCGGGAATTAATATCATTAGTTGTAGGTCAACTTTATATTATTAGGGCGATATTTGTCAAAAATACAAGATATGGTAAATATTTACTTATTCATTTAATTGATCGGGTTTCACTTGAGCTTTTCCAGTGTTGGTTGCCGAGGCGCATTTTTGACATAATGCCACCTGAAATCATTGCTACGATTAATGCTACTACCTGCCAATATGCGTTGGTCTATTTAGGGGAAGCGCCGTGTTATGGATCAACTACTAGATCCCATATAAGATTCTATTTAGTGGCCAGCAATCAATTAATTCATCTGTGGTACAGCAACTGTAAATATTTTTTACTTTTAATTACATATAATATACACATTATTTCATTAAGAATTTCTACAATTTTATTGTAAGTATAACTTGACCCATATTTATCCCTTTAATAACGGCTATATAATGTTTCAGATTATTTCGATATGTGGATGATGTATTCCGCTGAGCACTGGCCTAAATCCATCGACTTGAAATCAACAATAAGTAGACTTGGAAGGGAGCTGGAGGATGGGCCATGGATGTATTACACTCCATCAATTACGATTTTGACGTATGGCCGTTTCCAGCAGCTGTAGCCTATCAAAATGCGAGGTATGAGAAATACAGTGAAGGCAGCCGCCTTTGCCTCGAATCTGGGGCATTTAGATATCATCTTACAACTTTTATTTTGATGTCGATGTAAATTATCTATCCTTGTGAATGTTAAACCACAATTACACTTATTCATGTCTATTATTTAATAATAGAACTTAACACTTAACACTTAACACTTAACACTTCGATGAGTATGGGTACTTATCATGCTCGTTACACACTGCATGATATTATATACATAGTAAATACTCTCGGAGAGGTACTTACACCTCTGAGAGGTACTTCTACCTCTATGTATATGGAGTAATGAGGGGTGCCATTACGCTACGCAATTACACTATGCAATTACACTTATTACAGTACATGATAGTAATTGGAAGGTTCTTGCTAATTGCGCGAAGGGTGGGGGTGGGTACTTAGGATAATTACTAATTACCCAATTACTTTAGAATATAGGGTTGTCTCTGGCTGGACCATGGAGGAAGGACATAGGATGAAATCATGGATGAAATTAAATAACTACATAACCCATCTTCGTCCTACAAATATGAAATTCTTCATTAAGTCTTGACCTCTTACAACATAACCCATTTAGTAACCCTTTTTGTAACATTTATACTATGTTTCAGAAACATTTCAGTGAAATATTTAACTAAAATATTTAAGAAATATTTCACAAACTTGTGCTTGAAATGTTACAGGTTTAAAACGTTTGAAATATTTCTGAAACACTTCTGAAATAATGTGTGCTGTATGAGAAGCTAGGGCAAGTTTATCAAAATCCAAATAATTTGATTTAGTGACTATTTATTTTGATTTATGTGCCTATATAAAAAGTTTTACCTACCTGTTTGGTACGATATCGCAACAAATCAAACTTTTTGGTTTTATCTATAACTTGCAAATCGATCATTTCCATTACTTCCTGTGGATTTTTCTCCATTAGTGATCCATTTATACCCTCCAATACTCTGTCTTTAACAAGAAATTTTGTTTCGGTGCCTGTAACCTCGTGTAAAGTTATAACCATTTGTGAAAGTTCTTTTTTTAATTTCAAAATTTCATCTGCATTTGATTTTCGTTCTGCTTCACATTCTTCAAATAGAGCTTTGCGTTGGCCTTCTAAAAAAATAAGTAAAACTAAGCTTTTCATGAAAAGCGTTCCTGGATAAGTAATAAACGAGACTTTCCGTTATAACTCTTGGAAAACTGTAAAAATTCGAGATAAATAAAACTTAAAATCTTTACCACTTAATTATTTAATAATATAGGCCACTGGTAACGGTTATGTAGCCATTTTCAAGTCTGTAATATATATTATATGTTAGCAATTATGATTTTATTTTATGTACAGTCTTCAACAATGTCCGTGTTCCACGTGACTAAATTGATGTCATCAGTCGGCTAAAAGTAACATTAATAATTTCAGTAGAAATCATACGACAATGTCACTCTAGCACAGTATTTCTCAAACTGTTTTGGTTACGGAACCTTTTTGAAAAACGAAATATTTGACGGAGCCCCGAAGCATTTCTAAAAAAAGGTCCTCAAGCAAAATCAGATCCTTTCTTAGTAAAATCTAAAAAAAGGGTTCTCAAACCAGGTCCTCCCTGTTGTGACGAACTTCCTTATAGTACTCCTTTAGTATTTTTTTTATTATGACTATTATTTTCGCGGAGCCCCCGCGGAGCACACTCTGAGAAACACTGCAATCTAGCGTAATGCATTGCTAGCGAAAGAATGAAATAGGCCTCTGAATCAAACACTTTTTTTGGGTCATATTTTACGACCCCTTTCTATTATGCGCAGTACCTGGTGTCCCGGGGTGGGTCTAGCCAACACAGGCATATCTGCTTTTCCATAATGATTTCAAATTACAAAATTTCAAAGTGCATCACACTTAATGGAATGTGTGTTACTAGCTCTTGGACTATAAGCCACCGTACATATGTTTATGTAAGGTGTATAAGCTTTATTCCGACCTGCGGTGAACTGATTAGATTTTGGGCAGAGTTTTGACTATTTTTGCGATGATGTCTGTGTGCGTGCGTGCGTGTGTGTGTGTTCGTTTTTATATTTTATGGAATATATCGGTTATTTATGTTTGGACAAAATTGTCCAATTAAAAGTTACTTCCTATATTATTCTCTATAATTTTTGTCTCATACAAAATTTTCCTAAAATGGTCCGTATTCGAAAAATTTTACAAAATGTAAAAAATTCAAATTTTTAAGAAAATTGTTGATGTAAAAGTTTTCTCTATAATTTTTGTTTTTTACATGATTTCTCTAAAATGGACCGTAATGGAAAAGTTGGAAAAATGGGAGGAAATGTGTAAAATTAAAATGTTTCAGTATATTCGTTTTCAATGAACATATACAGAAAAATATTTCGCGTTAGATGTATCTGGAAATAGTATATTACATTACGAGTGTGTAAAGTGACATTTTTCACACGAGTGGGAAATATTGTCGCACGAGGCACAAGCTGAATGCGACTATCACACGAGTGTGGAAAATCACTTATTTTTCCTACGACCACAGATTATTATAATAATTAAAATGTATTTAAAAAAATAATCAACAATAATCGTATTTATTAAATTTTCATAATTTCTAAACAAATAAAAAAATAAAAAAAAAAATAAAAAAAAAATTCTGGCACAGCCAGGATTCGATCGCGGTCGTTGGACGGTCTCAAATTGCAAAGTTGATGCTCTAACCAACTGAGCTAACAGGCCTTACGGTAATTGATTGATCTAATCGCTTATGTGTTTAACCAGAATAAAAAGCAAATATATCTTAGTTATTTTAAAATTATTTTAAAAATAATTGTTAAAGATAAATATCTAGGATCTAATTTACAATAATTTAACAATCATATCGATTTTAGCATTAATATGGACATTACATAGATCAAAATAGAAATTAAGTGTTTGACATTTTCTGACAGCTACTGCGGAAAGTAGCATATTCTCACTTGGGTGGAAAGTAAATTCTTATTCATACGCGTGTGATATAGGGTACTTTCCATAGGTCTATATAGTGTGATATGTGTAACTTTCCTAAGTGGTCGTAGGAAAATGTATATATTTAGTTTATCCTCTAAACATTTACAGAGGTGCTGCAATAGATTGTACAAAATAATCGGAAAAAGCCTGTAATTACTAGATAGGAAAGTCATGTGTTGGACACATCAGATTTTTGTTAAGGGTATGATATCATTTTTTTCCCGTTTCTATTATTTTTGCGGTACCATTGCAATTAAACAAAATACAAAAAAATTTTCTTTATTGAGTTCACTTGTTATTCTTACAGCTCAATCTCTATATGCTTGAGATAAATGGCCTTTTCATAAAAAAATCAATGCATGTCCGGTGATTTAAAAGTCGTCTATTGGCCTTTTCCGGCCTCCGACAACAAGTGACTGACAAATCGGGATTTGTTGATTTATGTGTGCTGTGGTTATGATCTCCACACATTAATTATCTCCGCCGACACAGTCACTTGTCTTATAATGATGTCCAACACCTACTATAATATTTTAATTGACTATCATAAAAATTGGGCATTGTTATTGAGAACTTCCCCTTTCACTAGAGAAACGTTTTAGATGCTGTTAAATAACTATCTAGGGTTTGTTTATAATGTTAGATAATTTATTAAAGATAAATATTTTTATTATGACATAAACTCAAATTTAATTTTACTTCATTCTACATTCTACGCTACCAAAATATTGGTATTTTTTTTTATTTTGAGGAATTCGAATTTTTAGAGGGTCATTCAAAAAACATTATTTCTGATTTCTCGAAAACTGATTAGTGTTAAATTATACGTGGGTCATTGGAAATTGGTCTTACAGTAGCCTTGCAGTAACTTAGTAACATCAACTGTTTTTTAACCCAACCTTTTTCTCAGTGTAAAATTATGGTACCAAATAATATCTATATCACATAATAACGCAAGCAGAAAATTTCGACAGTTCTCCCCAAAAATCGCAGGGAAGTAAAGCATATCGTACAATAGCTACACTTAAAAACCGTAAGAGATTATTATTTTGTTATAGTGTGAGCAAGAATTAAGAATTTCGAGCTTATTTATTAAAATAACAGTTAGTGCAACAAGAGTGGACATGGACAATCCACTTGAGTTGTACAGTATATTTTTTCTATGACTCACTAACGAAATTCTACAAATTTAAAAAAATGTTTTAGGTTATTAAGACAAAATAACTAATTTTACAATAATTTATGAATTTTACTAATTTATAAAAAAAAACATGAAAAAAAAAAGATAAAAGATTTAATTTAATTAGTCCCCAGCTCAGATTCGAACCTGGGATTTTCGCGTGAAAGGCAGACGCTCTGTCCTCACCTTCACCGCCACTTTTACGATTTTAGTTTTAATACTCTTAAAATGTGGACCAAATAAAAATAAAAAAGTTATTATTTATCGATTCTACACAAAAATAACTCATTTTAATGTACATTTTTAATCACAACAATTAAAAAAATATACTGACAATTAGTTTGACAGAATTGACACTTTTTAAAAATAGTAGGCAGTTTGGTGTCCAGAATATGATCTGTGATTGGTGGATTTACTGGATTTAATTTTTTTGCAGTGTTCTCACTACCTAGAATGGATATGAAATATATTTGTTCAGTTGAACGCAATAACATACTTTTTCGTTTTGTAGTCTGTGCGTAGATAAGCTAATATCCATGTACACCCACATAGATATTTTGCTTATCTACTATCAAATAGTAGTTTGTGAAACAAGAGTCAATATGATGGCCATATCGCACGAAGACGAAGTTTGAGCACGACGTCGTAGGTGGATCAATCGTTTGAGTGCGATACGGACAATACACTCGAGTTGTACAGTATATTTTTTCTACGATCGACTAATAAAAAATCTAAAAATGTCTAAAATTATTTTATGTTATTAAGATAAAATAACTAATTTAAAAATAATTTATGACTTTTACTAATTTATATAATAAAATAAACTTTTAAAAAGTAATTTAACTAGTCTCCAATACTAGAATTGAATCCAGGAACTCTGTATGAAAGTCAAATGATTTAGTCACTGCTTCATCGCCACACATAATATTTTAGTTTTAATACTCATAATTAAATTGATTTCATATCTATAGTTTTATTCAAATTTATGGTTTATTTGTAAATTTAGACAAAATAATAATACAAATGCTCTCATTTATCGATTCTACACAAAAATAACTCATTTTAATGTACCTATATTTAATCACGATACACATACTAAAGGTATGCTGACTTTCGATTCAAAATTCGTCCAAACTGCGCATGACGTAATGCGGGACGAACTTTCAAGTTATTTTGACACTTTTCGATTGAATAGTGTAAAATAATTTCATAATTTATTTGTTTTTGTGTTAGTAGTGACTATATTTTCCTATATATAACAGGGAAGAACTATAATATATTACATTACGAGTGTGGTAAGTGACATTTTTCACACGAGTGGGAAATATTGTTGCACGAGGCACAAGCTGAATGCGACTATCGCACGAGTGTGGAAAATCACTTATTTTTCCTACGACCACAAAATAATTTTATCCAAAAATGTAAAACCAAATTATTATTATAATAATAAATAAAATGTATTTAAAAAAATAATCAACAATAATCGTATTTATTCAATTTTCATATTTTCTAAACAAAAAAAACTAAAAAAAAAACTAAAAAAAAAACAAAAAAAAAATCTGCCCCTGCAAGGATTTTAACGCGGTCGCTCGCCAGGTCTCAAATGGCAAAGTTGATAAAGTTTGATAGTCTAACCATCTGAGCTAATAGACCTTGCGTCAAGTAAAGGATCTAATCGGTTATGTGTTTAAACAGAATAAAAAGCAAACATAACTTAGTTATTTTAAAATTATTTTAATAATAAGTGTTAAAGATAAATATCTAGGATCTAATTATTTACAACAATTTGAATAATTTAACAATCATATCGATTTTAGTATTAATATGGACATTACATAGATCAAAATAGAAATGACGCGTTTGACATTTTGTGACAGCTGATGCGGAAAGTAGCATATTCGTACACGGGTGGAAAGTAAATTCTTATTTATACGCGTGTGATATAGGGCACTTTCCATAGGACTATATAGTGTGATATTTGTCACTTTCCTA